CTTGTTGAGATATAGGACAACTTTGCTCGAAGCACTTAGTCAGGATCGCGTTTAGACGATTAACTGCCCTATCAAGATTAGCATTCCCCCGCCTAATTTTGGTTTTCTTAGAGCTTAGTGTGTTGGACGCTAATTCAGAGCAAATTGCTCAATTCGCTTTTTTCGGAATCCTAAAAGGTCGTGATACTGCTACCTCAGGATCTATTGTGAAGTGTATCTTGCTGTGATCCGAAAAGAAACACATGTCCGATACCCTCCACTCATTTATCCTCGCTGTAGCTGAGTCGGTGACCAGTGTTATATCAATAACTTCTTCCCTAATCCTATTACGGAACGTTCGCTTATATCCCTTGTTACATATGACTAGGTTAGTGGAAAGAATAAAATCAAAAATAGACTCACCCCTGATATTAGTGTCGGAGCTTCCCCAAAATGAATGATGTCCATTTGCGTCACAAACAATTACCACGTCCATCCTGCCTGCTTAGGCATGCGCCACAAGCTGTCGGAAAGCGACTCATGGTGGTTGCTCCTTCTCGTACGGTAGGCATTCTGACGTTAGTAGCACGCTATGTATGCGACTGTGTTCGCACAACACCGTTGTGTGATCTCCGGGCTATATTCGGCAAAAATAAAGAGATAAATATCTTTTTTAGCTAGTATACAGGTTCTTATCTTGCCTACAGTCGTTGGAATGTACAGACGGTAACCGTATAACCCCAGTCCGCTAACACTGCGCCTAACCACCCAGAGCTCTTGTCTGCGATATACTTAATCAAGTCGAGCGAGGCGGAAGTGGAGTGATGCAACTTAATTTGCACCACTGCCAGCCTCCTCCCTTGCAGCTTGTGGCCTGTATCCAGGGACACGTGTCTTAAAGGTGCCTAGCCCGAACTTGATGTTGCCTCCTCAGTCCTTCAATTTGTCGAGCGACGTCTGATCAACAGCGATCAGCGTGTCGATCCTTACTCTCGTTTTGCAGGGTGTCAAGGTCACTACCTACACAGAGTAACGCTTCAGTATTTTCTCCGCAGCCGAAACTGGTGGCGGAATCCATACCGAGATAATTGGACGTACTGGGAGCCTGGAGCGAGTTATGATCTCGAGCCGAGCTCCCGGAAGTCTAGCGACACCCTGTTGCCACATCCAACAACCTTCATGCCCTTTTTCTAGCCAGCTCCTTCTAAAACCAGTTCCTCAGTCTCAGCTTCAAGCATCAGGTCCATGAGCTTTGTCTCTACAAGTAGCCAATGTTCCGATTGAAGATCCATGGGCGAGACGATGAATGCCGATGGTTTCGGCTTCTTCGATTCTTTCATGGGCGGCTTGCTCGATCTGCTCTATTTGTTTGCTCTTCCCTGGAGGCCTGTGGGACAAAAATACAAAATAAATTAAACAAGAAATTCGAGGACCTCAATAGAAAACAAAACAGCAAAGACATATGTCTTTCCATTCCGGATTCGTAAATTTGACTAAAGTTATAATTAGCAAACAAGAGACAGAAAATTGGAAAAGGATCTGAAAGACAACATAGAAAATTATGATAAAATCGAAGAGGTAGAGCGCATTAATATAGACGCGGAAATAGTCATATCTCTACTACCAAGCAGAACTGTAAAAAATTGCAATAAAATTGGATTGCATTGGTTGCAGATGCCGTAACCGCGCCCGCTACCTGCACCATCGGTCTCGTGGTTAGACTTGAGGAGGTCCTTACGTTAGTTTTCTCGAACTTTGAAACGACTTTCTCATGCTTATCTCTCTTAGTGAGGGATGGTGGATCTTTTTCCATCATCTTTTTGAGGAAGCGAACCGAGTTTTTATAACCACCTCTGGCTTTCTGAGCTCGGATCGCCTCCTCTTTCTGCTCCTTCCCCTGACGGGTCTCTGCAGACGTTGAAGGCTGGGCTGCATCGTTGAGCATCAAGTTCTCCACCTCAGGGCTTATGTCATCGGTGTTGCTGGCCATTGACAACAGATCGTCGTCGTCGTTAGCGTTCTCGATCCTACAGCCCTGGAGTTGAGAACCGATGTCTCGAGCAGCTACAGACTCCTGGTCTACAGCCGCCTGCCTTCCCAAAGTTGGCTTGGAGACAGCCCCTGTTCCCCTCACAGTAACAGTAGTAGACTGCACAGCCGGGGGCTCCAGCGCACAGATTGAGAAATTACTGGATATCGACGCCAGATGACTTCCTCGCCCGTCATCTACCGCCGGTACTGTGTATCCGATCCCTGCACCGTAACTCTCTCTTCATCGGGGCGACTCTCCATACGGACCCCTCCTTCATGGGGGTTTCTTTTATGTCTACCACCCCGCACGAAAAAGACACGGACTCGACCGCCCCTAACATGGCGAAAACAGACGTTGTTGTGCAGATGCACAGCAATTCGTAATAGCATGGGTGCCTCTGCCACTCCTAACATGGAGTACAGACACAGCAAATCTTTCAGGAATTAGGTCATTTGGCGTTACCCAGGGTGCACCACGGGTAGGTGACCTAAACTACACTCCGCTATATATAGAAACGAAATCTATACTATAATAAAACTGTAAATTGTTTGTCTGTTTGTCTGATTAAACTCACTAATCTCCAGAAAAACTGAATGGATTTTCATGGGACTTTAACTGGTATATAGAGAGTGACCTCGAGCTTAACCTACGGTATAAAAACATGGAATATGAAAATAGGGTATGACACATCCCGTAGGCGTGGCATTTTTATTCAGCTATTATTTCGAAATCGTAAGCCACATGACTTTGAAATTTGTTGTGTTGACATAGGTATCTATGGTAGACGCTTATTTTAAAGTAGATATACTTCTTTTAAAAGGGGCGTGGCACACTCTATAGACATAACCTCGAAATCATACGTCACATGAATTTGAAATTTGGTATGAAGACATATCTATGATAGGCTCTTAAAGTCAGGTAAATACGAAGCAAGAGGCGTGGCACCTCCCGTATGCGTGACACTTTTAATCAGCTATAACTTCAAAACCGTAAGTCATATGACTTTGAAATTTGGTGTGTTGTTATACATATCTATGGTAGATGCTTATAGTAAAGTACATATACTAAATATACTATGTTAAAGGGGCGTGACCCATCCTATAGGAAGGAAATTTTTAATCCGCCAAAACTTCGGAATCATACGTCACATGAATTTGAAATTCTGATCTGCATCGTGAAAAATACCTTTGCAAAAAATGGTGCCTACAGATGGCGCTGGAGTCGAGATATTTAAAGAACCCGTCTTTATCGTATGACCTGGATTAACGCGTATTAACTTTATGATAAGAAGTACTTCTGCAAAAAATGGGCCCAAAAATTAGATGGCGCTCAAATCACGATATTTAGATGCCCCTCTACAAATTTACATTTTAGATTACTTAATGAAGCCCCATCCTATCGGTATATCAAGAAGAAGTGTGTTGAATTAGAGAGAACACGGTAGGAATATCAATGACCCCATTTGAATGGGAAAACTCTTTCATCCTGTGGAACAGCAGGATTGTAGAAGAAGATTACGCACACTCGGCAAACCTTGCAATACTTGCATATATATGTATTGGTCAACGCAAAGGTTCTTATAAGGCGACGCGAAGCAAGCCAGACATTAGCTAGTATAAAATAAAGCTTAAAAAGCTGGTGCACTTTTTTATTTTCTGTGGACTTAAAGATTCATTGTACAAAAATTTTGTCTGAGAGGACCCCTAGTGAAATTTGATGGAAAATAATTTTCTAGAAGATCTTAACCCTCTAGGGACCTTCAAAATGGCGTTTTCTAAAAAGGGGAGGCCAAAACGACCCTTTGGAATAGAGACAAGGGGTTAAAATGATCTACAAAAGTATTCCTCGTAAAATTTTAATATATGATCCGAAATAACATATTTCTATCCGATATGTATTTTAACTCTTTTTTTCATTTATTCTAAATACAATTAGGCAAAACATTGCAGAAATTTAACCAAAAAATTTAAAACGATTTTGAGGTTTTACTATATGGGTATTGGTTTTTCGTCCACAGTTGGAATCATTCCGCCCCAGACAATGACCCTCAAATTGTTGCACAGTGTAATTAAGGTCGTCTGTTTCTTTGATATCACACGAAAAAGTTCAAGTTTGACATTGAATAACTTTAAACAGAATAAATTTATTGAAAAATTATATAACATCCTTTTTGTACAGCCTTCAATTTCTTACAATAAGATATATTCTCCGTTTCTATCTACCTACTAGTTCAAAAGAAAAAGTTTTCAATGTAAAATGAAGCAAAATCCCATGTGTTTTCAATTTGAAATGTATCGACTTTGGGGCAAGGTTTAACATGAATCTTAAAGGTTGTTTTAGTCTTATATCTCTTTTTAGGCCAGAAACTAAAAATTTAGGGGCGCTGCAAAAAAAATAAAACATGGTAAATGTATAAAACCATTGATTGTTTTCGTATATATCAGAGTGCGGGCAGAAGCTGAATCTCCTTTCAGCTAAAGGGAAAGTTATCGCTTTTAAATGTTTACGTTCTATGACAATTATTACCTCTGGAAATTAAATGATATGTCACCAGTATCTGATCGCTTCTGTCAACCAATCGTTCTTTATCAGCCAGAGATAGACAGTTTTTTCATTAATTTATGGGTGTATAGCGATTCACAGATGCAGGTAACAACAACAAAACATATAAATGCCAAGAGTAACAATTGACTTAGAACGGTTTATAGTATCACCGACGGATATGAATTGTTTAAATAACAAACGAACATGTTGCTCAACAGCGACTCTTCCTTTTCTTCTTTTGGGTTCTCCCAAGTTTTTAAATAATTTGTGGATTTGAAGTGGATTTCCTTTGATTTTAACCTGGCATGTGATTTAATTTTGTTCACCTCAGTAATTTTTTTATGGCCCGTCGACATTGCCCTTTCTTTATTTAAATTTATATTCAATTTTCAGACTTTGATTTCTACCATAATTTGAATCTAAATATGTTATTTTTTCTTTCTAGATGCAAGCTGCGTAATCTGGTGGGCACAATACTTAGCAGAGAGGTTCATGTGCGAGGGGGTAATTTTCAAACATTTTATCAGCATTTTAGCGAATAGTATATAAATAAATTAATTTAATATCACGAAATACATCTCAAACTAAACTTAGTGGAGGTTATAGGTGAAAATAGCTTTCATAAAGTTTAAGTAGTAAATTTTCAAAAACCCCTATTTTTTCTTAATATTTTCAAATTTGACTATCGCTAGTTTCAAAAATTTCTATGAACGTTTCCAAATATATAGTATCTGTCTAAAAGCAGATTTATTCTCGAACGAAGGGATACCTTATCTGATAAAATCGGCTAAAAATGTTCTAAGTTAGGCAATTCAAGTAGAAATACTGTCTTGAATTTATATGGATGAACGGATAATACGTGCCAGTGCCGATTTGCGGACAAAACAGTTTTGCCTCGGGTAAACTAGACCTACCTAAGTTTATGCGATGGTATAAGCCCAACTTGTTTTTGCGTTTAGCCGTGGTTTTATCCGATTTCAGAGATTTTCAAGAGTGTGCTTAAGCAGGCCCACAAAGTGGGGTAGACATTTGTTCGAAAATAAATGTACTTTTAGGTAAATATTTATTACAGATTTGGCAACTTTCAGAGATATTTTTGAAATTAGAGATGGTCAAAGTTAAAAAAATTAAGAAAAATTGAGGTTTCTAAAATTCATCATATCATTTTCAAAATATGTTTGATTTTTAAAATCGGATGAAAAATAGTTAAGCAGTTCATAGATAAGTGCATTAAGTACGAAAATAACGTATTTCTTTATAAAAAAGAAGGGTCCAGGAACTATATGAAATCCATTTTCATGTTGTACTTTCCACTACCTACACTAAGGCCCCTATTATCAGGCCTATCACAGATTCCGAGTGAACTCCAGTCGTTAAAAAAGCTCCCGTCACGAATTCGGGAAAAATGCTGTCAGCAATTCCGACGCATTCATAGTTAGTGCTGCCTTTGGTTTTTCTTTGTTTTTATGTTTTGGTTTAATAATTCTAAATCAAAATAAAATAAATCACAATAAAATAACTTGAAATCAGTGATACCATTCTCACGAATTTCGAATTTGCGGGAGAATTTCGTGATCACGATGGAATTTATGATAGGCCTGTATAAGTTGCATTCGATCTTCGACTGTGGTCGAAAGTGCTGATCGAACGAATTTTCATTTTGTATTATGACGCTCATTCAAAGAAAAATAGCGCTATCGTGGATTTCGCTCGTTTAGGTTGTTCACAATAGTATATTCGTCTGAGGATGAGAGCTTAGTAAACTGGCCAGGAGTAGGAAACTTTTAAGAGAGTTTAAGACTACACGTCTTTCGAATATATTTTGACATACAATATATTTAGGAAATTTGTTTACAGATTTATTAAAAACTTCCGACTGACTAAAGAGCCGTTTGTGAGCTAAATCTATTTAAAATATTTTAAAACTATCAACAGCTCTACGATTTTGTTCTTAGAGATCGTGCCAACTGAGTATTGGAATTTTCTTTCATAAGTGAAACCAGCCTTTCGAGCTTGCGTTTAGTATTCATGGCGTTAGAGCTGCATGAAATTAATAAAAATCCTTTAAAATTAGTGTATAGCTGCTAAAAATGGAGAAAACAAAACGCAAATTTCTAACACTTCGCTACAGTATCGAGAGCGAAATTCTGTTCGACGGAAAATTCGATACTCAACGAAAATTTCGACATGGTTGCATAGCTCATAATATGGGCCAAAGTTTCGTTTCGGGTGTTTTTCGTGACTTGCTTTTAGTAGTATTATGTGGTAATATTGTAATTATCATCAGTAATGTACACACTCTCTTTTTAAACTATCCCTACTAAATATTTAAAGAATATCTCTTCAAAGTAGTATGGCTTTAGATCTCACATAATGTAAGACATGAATTTGTTTTAAATATTTTGTGAATTTTCAAATTGAACCAAAAATTCTTATAGCGCTCATGGAAGAATTTCCTATTCTCTATATATCAAAAACTAGAGAAAAACGACTACAAAGTCTTAATTGATACAACTATCACATTTTTTCTTATTTATTTATGACACTCCTGCAGCAAATATGTAAAAATATAAAGGTATATTATAAAATTTGAATAAATATAACCAGGTATGAACATGCATACATATCAGTTAAAATCTCAGAAGCGTACTAACATAGGGCTGCCAGATATCTCTGTTGCCAAACCGGGACACTTAAGGGGGGAGAGGCCTCTCGCTCCCTTCCCTTTCGTTTCGACAAAAATTACGTACGAAAGGATGTAGTAAAATTTTATTTTGACAAACAAAAACAAAAACATAAAAACATGCGATCATGAGATCATTACAACGTACACTAGCAAAACAAAACAATTTATCACAACTAAAGCACAGAGAATTTTTCACAATGCATGTACCTTTTTTATTCCTTATAAAAATACAGTTTAAACTAAATACAACAGAAAACATAAAAATAAAATTTCTAAACTTTGTGGAAAACTCTGGAAAATGCAATAAATTTGCATACAAATTCGCAACTTCTTATTCAGACTTTTTTATAAAAATTTTGAAAACGAAGTTTTGCAGCCAATAAAAATTTAGTTGATTTTTGGTATTGCTTTTACTGAGAGTTTCTTCCATACAAACTATGTTCAACATTTTTTTGTATGTGGAAGACACTGTCAGCAAAAAATAAATAATTGCAAAAAATCAACGAAATTTTCTGGTAACTTAAGACTTTCACTTTACTTATTGGCTCAAAAGCTACATTTTTAAAATTTGTGATCAGATGAAAGAGTCTCCGAGCCAATAATTTTGTACTGCACGGTACTTATAAGTAATCAAAGAAAAAAAATTAAATACAAGGTAACATTAAAATATCAGTCATTTGTTTCGTTGCTGTGAACTTGTTTCAAAATTTCTGGCTTTTGCTTAATATAATTGTAAAACTCTGTGCATGTCATTTTAACGTATTTAGGTACACACTTATATTAATCATCAACTCTTGCTTGTGCAAAACGTGCTAAATAAAAAAAAAAAATCGCATATGAAAGAGCACCAACCCAACTCGTAATAAATTTAAGTTTACAAATTTTAGTATTTAGTATAGAAATATTCAATTCAAATACGTCAATATTAAAATGAAGCGCTTTACACTTAACGGATGCTTTTTCATAATTAAGTTTAAAAAAAATATTTAAATTCCATACTGCCTGTAATGGGATTTTAACCCTGACGCTCTGGAAATTAGCAATTTGTGGCAAGCATCTTTGTGCACTCCAGACATGTGCTACAGCCAGACATGTAAATGTGCATTCAAATGTTCAGTTTGATTCAACACCACGTGTGCGTGGTATGAGAGTATTGTTTTTAAATACGAAAATTTTAAAATTCATACAATTTTTCTTAATATTACAACGCGTTTTTTCTCTCAGTGTAGTAATTTTTATTCAAAATTTGTGCATTAAATCGAAAACCGGGACACTTAAACGAAACCCGGGAGATTTTAAGGTTGGACCGGGACACCGGGACAAATAGCCTAAAATCGGGACATGTCCGGAAAAACGGGGACGTCTGGCAGCCCTAACTAACATTTATTCAAAGATCGAGCTTTTTAGAGGAATATTTTTTTTTCTGGTTCACAACGATGGAAAATAAAAATGTGACAATTTTTCGAAATTTGAGTTCGGGTTTTTTGAATTTGAGTTTTTAAGTTATATATTTCGTAGCTATTTTCTCGCGATTATTAATACCGTGTCACCTCAAACCAATTGTGTTAGAGAAAAACGTGACTAACTTTTGTCTCATTTAAAGTTTCAATGGATTTTTATATACATATGTATGTACATATATGTACATATTTTGATCAAAAATAGAACTCAAAATAGGCTTATATTATCTGAGAGATTATTAAAAATCTACATAAATGTAATTATTAATCATAATTAATCCAGAGAAAATAATTTCATTTATAATGAAATCCAAAAAAAATCGAAGAAAGTTAATAGCTTTAACTTTGAAAAAACATAATTCGAATTTCGAAAACTTGTAAAAATTTTATTTTTTGTCATTCTAAACCGGCAGATTTTTATTCAGAAAGAGCACAATCTTGGAAATATTTTGGTACATTTAAAAGATTTTGACTCATAGGTACATTGTATCTACTAAAATAATGTTAATTTGGGTAAGGAATTTTTTGTTTTGAATTGGAAAACTTAAGGTTAATGCGAAGCTCACATCGGTGAGAATTTGACGTTGCAAATACGCGGAGCTAAAAATTACATCAATACCAGCCTTTTTGACTCATTCAAAACGTATGTATGTACATATGTAGCTGACAGCAATTTGAAAGCGCCAAAGAATAGGAGAAAGTGTCATAATCAGGGAACGGATTTTTAGGACCTAAAAACCTATAAAAAAGGCAAAATAAAATAACGAAATAGGCTGGAAAAGGCAAAATAAAATAGCGAAAAAGGCAGGAAAAAAGCTCTAGGTATTGCAAAAAAGGCAAAACAAAATAGCGAAAAGGACAAGAAAAGGCACTAGGTATTGTAAAAAAGGCAAAAGAAGGCACCAAAAAAAGGCAGAAAATACGAAGAACAATCCAAAAATACATTTATTTTAGAAATGTTTATATTACAAGTAAAAAGAGAAAAACTATGAACTAGTTTCATTATATGAAAAATTTGTACTTTGAACCTTTCACACAGATTTCACACAGTGTTGGCAAACTGTTAATCTGATTAACGATAAAAAATTAACGATTTATAATCGCGTTTGACGATTAAAATTAATTAGTCGTAATCAACTGTACGATTAATGATAACATTATTTTAATCGATAATCGCTGGCTGCGATTACGTTTAATTAATTTAAAACAATAATCGTTAATCCAATTAAAAATAAAATCTGATTAATTTGTCTAGTTTGTCCGAGTTTGAAACCAAACACCAGTTATAGTAATTATTTTGTGTATTACGTTTATATAAAGCACATAATATAAAAAAATTAGAATTATTGTTATTAGTA